TGCCGACAATAATGATGCCTTATTTTACCCCCAAAACCCAATTTCATTTTTGAAATTACCATTGCGTAATCCTTTTAGGAGTAAAGTTTCAACAAATTTCGAATACTCTTTCTACATGCTTTTATCCATTGTTTATATGGATTCCGTGCACTGTGCGGCATTCGTAATACAATTTTGCAAAGCACAACGTTACAAGACCGAATGGACATTACAAAAACGTTTTTTGTTATGTTAATCAGCTATAATAGTTTCGGTGAGTAGGATTAGATTTTCCGGAGAAAATCACATTCTACTTTTTACTACTTGTTTTCTTTTATACATAAATGCTAAGTATACCATGTTAATACATATTTAGAGCGTATTTAGAAAATCTATTACGTGCTCCATACTAATTAAAAGCCGTTTTGAAGTTAACCGTTGTTTTTGGCTGATTGCACCAGAGCCAGTTAATTTCTATCTGTACTTATGTACATGCATATGTATGTATGTATGTACGTGCCTTGTTTTTGTTTGTTTCTACATACATTTATTTTATTACCAAATACTAGCAGACAATGCCTCAAACTGTTAGTAATTTAGCATCACGTCGTCGTTTAAGCAAATACAATTATAATAAAAGTGAATGTTTAAAGAATATGGAAATGTCATTAGCGAGAACCTAAAAAGATTTGTTGCTGTTTGTTTTTTTTTTTAATTCATGGTCGCTTGTAAAATGTAGAAACAAAATTTTTTGATATTTGCCCTAATTTTTTAATTATGATTGTTTGATGAAAAAAAAACAAGAGATTAGGATTAATTTTTATGGCAATGTTGTTTTGGTTCAGCTTGTGTGGTATCTAGGGATGTTGCGATACTATAAAAGTATCGATACTCAGCATCAAATTATGTATCAGAAGTTCAGTATCGATACAAAATATCGATATTTTATACTTTTGATACAAAAAATGTTTGTTAATGAAAATTAATTAATAAGAAATCCTAAACAACTGCAGTGCGTAATAAACAAAGTATAAAAAAATGGCTCGCTTTCATCAGCAAGTCGGTAAATCTTTAAATCTTTCTTTAAATTCGTTCTTTGCACGAAAATTGGACAATTTTCAAACACGCGTTGCACTTAAGCGAACTTTTGTCAATCTTCGCAATGTGATTCCATACTTAACTAAACAGAAATAAAAACAAATCCATGTGGTTACGCTGTATATGTACTGTGTTTATACGGTTTGAATACATTACGATGCCATAAAAGTATCGATACTAGTATCAAATGGGTATAGGAAATAAATAAATCGCGCGAACGATAACATAGAGTCACCAAACAGGAAATATACTTAAATAGAATTCTAGGAACAATATGGCTATCGATACTAATATTATATCAGTAGTTTCGCAACATCCCTAGTGGTATCAATGTATATATAGCATACGATCGAAATTGCACGTGTGTTAGAAAGCGCGAAAAACTATTTTTTAGCAGATGGTAATAACATAAGCAAGGAAGACTTTACCGTAAGGTTTTTCAACAAATTATAACAAAAATTTGCTCCAGCTTTTGCTGAAAGGTAAAAAAAACTCTGTGTACATTTTTAGCGCATAATTTCAAAAGTGACAAATTTTGAATTGTGTCACTTTTAAAGATTGTGTGCGATATGTATTTGTAGGCAATAATAATTTTGTTTACAAACGAAATGAAAAAGCTTAACAAATAATTGACAAAATTTATCTTATTCCTTTAAACGAGCAATTCTTGTATTTACATATCTATTATTTTATATACATATCTAATAGGGTTGCCACCTATTTTCCAATGTATATTTATTTCATATTCTGTTTAGAAAATTAAGTTGAAATATTTTTTTATTATTGTTACTAAAAGAAAGCTATTAAACAATTTTTTGCCTATGTGTAAGTGTTATCCCTTAGGATATTTAGCGTAAGGTTGCCACTTATTTTCGACTCCACAAAATTTAACTAAAAGAACTTAATAAAGTCGTAATTTTTTTTAGGATTGTTCTATATCGAAAAAAATAAACTCCTATTTTTTATTTTGAAATCAAAAAATATTTAGAGGTCGTTCAAAGCGCTCAAAGTTTTCCATGGGGGAAAAACTACTTTTCGTAGAAATGGTATAGAATTCTTGAAAATCAATATTTTTCGATCGGAAATCTCTGGTTCTCTTCAGGAGATTTCAATAATAATACCCAATTATTTATTTAACCGTTCGATTGATAATTTAAGAATGCATGTTATTTTATAACGTAGTAATTCCGAGAATATATAATAAAAATATTGAAAAAAACCAATGAAACTTCATTGATTTAGCATTTTTAAGAGCTTTTTTTCTACTTTATCGAGCTTTTTAATAAATAGTTACATTCTTATTTAAAACTCAAACTAAAAGCTAGTAACTTTTCGTTAATTTTTTGCCATCATATAGGCAGATGTGTCGATAGATTACTAATTAATTGAACGTGAAGCATACATACAATCATACATACATATGTACATACATGTCACCAAACTTACATATGTATGTATGTAAATTAATAAAACAAGCAAACACATAACGAAAATAAACAACAGCAACTAAATAATTGATATAAAAAAAAGTTATAAAAAAAAGAAATTATTAAATACTACAATCAACGGAACAGAATTATTCGATAAAAACAAATACTTAATAAATAATTATTAACGCATACGAGTTTGATGAAAATGTAGGAACTGTAATTTTGTGTGTGAAAAAAATGTACACAAAGTGAACTTGAACTACGTTTGAGATATCGTGCTGTGTGCTGTGAAGTGAGCCGTGTGAGCTTTTCTGTGTTTTATAAGCGTGCAATTGGATTGGTGTGTATATAGGATGCGTTATTTACATATGTACATATGTATATATGTACACAGTGTCTGCCATTCACAAGTCATCGCATTTGCGCTTGAGTGCACTCGCGATTGACAAGCGCGTAACAAGCGACTAAGCAGTAAAAATCAAAACGGCTTACCTACTTATCATATGTATGTATGTAAATATGTAGATATATGTGTGTGTATTTTTCTAGGTAATTTTCATTCAACTTTTTGATTTTTTTGTCAATGTTTTTAAATTTATTAAAGCAAAAAAATTTTAACGAGTCAATATTTAGTCACAATTTCGCAAGTTTTGGCTAATTCTCTTTGTCTAAAAAATGGTTATTATTTATTACCAAAAAAATGTTAATAAAAAAAAATACTTAAGTAGGCATAAATTACCGCTACTCTTTTAGGCTGTGTAAAAATTAATTAGCTATACCTATTACCAGTAGCTCACTAGAACAAAATACTACAGTGGAAGTATATGTAAATTACAAAACCTTAAAATTTAAATGATATATTGACAAACACTGACATTGACAAATATACTTTGTAACGCGAACTTTTTGTTCTAGCTCAGCTTTTTGTTCTCAAAACCAATTTTTTTGTTTGTTTAATTCTAACTTTGACAAGCCAAATAAACAGTTCCAAAATTTTTCCTTAGCCAGTTGGCTACTCAGCTGTTGACCGCATTGTAGTCTCAATAATTAGCTTGAATATGAAAAATGTTTATTTTTCAACTTACTCTGCTTTTTGATATTCTTACTTTATGCAACTGCACAAAAAGCTTTAACAAAAGGAGGTATAATAACCACTTAGTCTTCTGTATACGTGAATAATAATTTTCCCTTCGCTAATTTTTACATAAAATTTCTACTTGGTACAATGTTACAAGCTCGCTGCATTATATGAGCTTTTTATAAATTATACAATTAGAATGCTTAACAAAAGACCTTAATTTTTACTAAACAATTATATGCACGCATAGTTTATTTTATACAAAATAACGGATGGAAGTGGTTTTGTCATGTAAACTAGTTTGTGATTTTCATTTTCAATTAAACTGTATAATGAGATAAAATTATAGCATTTAGATTGCGCTTATGGCATAATAGGTTGGTGCGTTTCTACGTAAAAAAAAATAAGCTTTTCTCAAGTGCAATGCGTACATTTTCATCTTTATAAAGTGACTTGACAGTTGATGACTGGAAAGAAGTTGGGGACCAAAAATGCACTAAAAATGGCACTTACTCATAACTAAATATTCAAAAAGTTAACAAACAGTCTTGATTCTCGCTTCAAAATGTTTTTTTAAAATTGTATATATTTGTAGTGGGGCTGTGCAATTAATTGATTATTCAAAATTTTAATTAATCATAAAATAAATAACTCAATTATTCGATTAATTGGAAATTATGATTACTCAAAAGCTCAGTTACTTCAGTAATCAAGATTTTAATTAACCAAAAACAAAAAATTTTAACTAATTTGCTTTATGATTAATCAGCATTATGAGTAATCAACATTTCAAAGTACTCTTTACATAATCAAAATCTCGATTACTCGAGTGATTGATTAACCGAATAACTGATTAACCAACTTGCTCGAGTAATCGAATAATCACACAGCCCTAGTTTGTAGGTATCCCAAGGCTTTGCGAAACTAGTTTGAACTCTTTTTTTAACAATATTTGTAAGCAAGATGACCTTTTTATATGTACTACATGGAATATATCTCACCTCATTTTACGAAGAAGTTGCAATAATGAAAAATAAAATTCACTAAGTTATATGTAGGCAAAATCTATTTAGTTAAACTATTAGTTAGTTATTTTTTTTATTCAAGCCTAACTTTTAAAATGTCTAGTAAATATAAAAAGCGTATGTACATATGTAATCCTGTTTATGAGTATTAGTTCCCCAAATAATCCCTTAATTTTCATATAAAATTCTGGGGCATACGAAATGTTTAAAAATTAACACTTATGTAGTTGGAAATTTAGACAAAAAAATCAAAAAAAAAACCTTGCAGGTATCCCTTTTTTATAAATAGTATTTCACCTTAAGATACTTACTTTTTTATTTTTATTTTTTTAATTCATTACACTTTAACTTACAATTAATAAATAATTTCTCCAAATCTTCTCTTTACAGCTTTAAATAGAAATCTAATTTCATACTAAACCTGAGAACGACATTAGAACGGTAAACAGAGAGTGAGGAGCGAGCAAGAGACTTCAACAAACGCATTAAAATTTAAAAGGCTTGTGATTTACTTGGGCTGACAAAATGACAGGTTTCAGCAACGGAGGTTTCGAAAACGATGAGCCGGTGAAGGTGAGTGTGTAAAGATACGCATATATGTACATACATGCATTCCTACGTAAATGCCAAATAACTATTGGAAACAAAAAAACAACTACAAAAAATTAAATAAAAACTAAGAAACTACAAAAAACATTAAATAAAAACTAGGCATTAAGTGAGTTGTTAGCAACTTGCCAATAATGTAGTAATAAATCAGCGTCGAGTGCAGTTAACGAATTGAATTTGTTAGCAAACATAGATACATAAGTGGTTATTTATAGACCGAGCAGCCGCTAATGGAATGTGTTTGCACATTTTTTTACCATTTCGATTTACTTGTCAATAAAATAAGTATTTATTTATACTTAAATAAATTAATATATTTTAAAGAATTCAGACAAAAGCCAGACATAGATCAAATACATTGTGTACAATTCATAGGATGGCAAGCGGTAAGCAGTAGTGGCAAGCAAACGAGGCAAAGTGCGAGTAACCATGTGAAACAAATTAGAAATTTATAAAAAAAAAAAAAATGACTGAATCACTTCCTTGTCGTCGATGATTAAATGCATTGAACGCAAATTGATTTTTGCTTTTTAGTTGTATTTTTTTTTTTTTTTTTTTGTGTAAAATCTCACAGGCGCAAGCAGCCTCGGCTTGAGCAGAATTCTCACAAGAATTTGACAATTTATAGTGTGTGTTTGTAGTCTGGCGCAATACAAATAAAGCGTAAATGGTATTCAAATTTAAATGGAATTTATTTATATGAGTACTACTATATAACGATCTACATATATACATTAGCGTAAGTCCCTCTCCATACAAAAAAAAAGTTGGGTTTAATTTTACATCGGAAATATAAAATGTATTATATTTTAAGAATTTCGCCAAAATATTTCTGTCAAATATTAAGATTTACATGAGTTGGACCTATTCCGAGTTTTTTTATAAATGATATAATTTTTTTTTTAATATTTTTGTTAACCACCCCAGATGATGCAAGAATGGAATCAATGTAATGAGATTTTTGGAGGCATTTTCAAATCGGTCTAGCCACCTGCTGCCCAATCACCCGTTTCTGATTTTTGAATGATGAGAATGAATGTATTTAATATGCCACCAGCATCTTAAGCTGAGGCAGAGTCAATCGATGGACCCACAGCTTATCTACATATGAGTGAATACCCTTAATTACATGTCGTATGCTATTAAAACATTAAGTCCAAAATTATAAAAGTCCATTAAAAAATTTACCTTGATTTTTCTTCTTTTTTTTTTAAATAAGAAAAAAATACGATTTTAATATTCATGTCTGGCACGTCCTCCCCGACTTTAAGTTAAATATTCGCGGTAGAACAAAAACCATGTATGCCTTAAATATTTTTAATGCCTTCACTTTTAATGTTTTTTTTTGTACAATATGGTTGTATGCATGAACCAAAAAAAAAAAGTGTATAATAAATATTTCGACTGTCATTTTTATACATTTTTAATTTGAAAATATTCTTCTTTTCACTCGTCATGGCGGCGCTTTTGTTCTTTTGTTAAGCAGCTTCCTATTTTACTCGCATCGCTTACTTTTTTATTAATTATTTCAATGTCTGATTAATTTGTGTAAAACGCATTTCAATTGAAGCCAATTGAATTTTTGTGAATAAGTAATCATGCCAAGTGTCAGCTACACATTGTACTACCATGTTTGTACATATGTACTACATACATATCAACATATTAATGTACGCTTAATGCGTCTCTTTTCGTAGCTCAATATTTATTTTTCATTTCATTGTGTTTTTTTTTTTAATATTCCTGTGAAGTACATTTGATCGATTTGTGACACGATCGCCAGTTGCAAAAAAAAACCAAAACACAAAAGTAAAGAAAACAATCAATTTGCACAGCAAATAATAAGTTGAGTGCACGCGATTAGCTGATTTCCCTTGCATGTGTAAGACTTGAAATAAAATGTCAGCAAAAGTGTTTGACTTTAACAATTTAAGACCCACGCAAAATGGGCATTTAGCAAAGGAGACATTCTACATATTACGTGAAAACGCTCAACAATTTGCGGATAGAATAACATGCTGGGCAGCAAAAAATAAATGTATCGCGTATTCCGGGAGCGTTTATTTTTTCTGTTCTTACGCAACTAACGTAACTTCCAAATCTTACCGGATCTTAATGTTCCCTATAAGTTAGTAGCAAATATCAGGATACTGCAAACTGACAGCTGCAATATATTAAGTGAACTTTTTCACATATATTAATGTTTACAAGTACTTGTATACAGTGTATCAAGCAAATGTTCACATTTTGATTTTCTTTAAATCTTCAAAATGTTTTCAAGGTAAACTTTTTTGGTTATCATACTTTAACCAAAAATCTTATAAATCAAAATTTCTAACTTTATAAAAAAATTTGAAAAATTGGGAAAATTTTCAGCGAAATTCCGAACTTTTTAATCCGATTTTTTTGAAAAATTTTTGCGCGCGCTGTTTTATAGCCCATAAATTAAGTCCTAGTTTTGAAAATTCACGTTCATTTTTAACATTTTTTTTACTGGCGACTTTTTTCACTTTATTCAAAAGTTCCATGCCAATTTTTATAAATTGCACTTATTACATCGTACGTCAACTTTACACGCAAAAAAATCAATATATTCGCGAAACTTGGGGCCAAAAATAGTAAACCTACGTTTTTAGTTTTTTCTCTGACCTCAGGATTTTTCTTAAAATTACTTTGAAATGTGAAAGGTATGATTAATTAAAAAAAAATTAAAAACTCAATGCAATGTAGAATAAAAATATCGGTATCATATACTATACATACGTACATAAAAAAGAAATTTTTTTAGAATTTAAAAACTTTAATTTTTTTGGTGTATACGGGCGAATAGATACCGAAAAAGTCCTTTTAAAAGTTTATTCTTGAATATCCTTAAACATTTTTGAAACAATGTAATGTTAAGGACTAATAAACACACGACCACATCATCGAAATTTGTACTTCCATCTTTATTAGCTTAAAAAAATAAAGTAAATTATAACGTATTATAGTATATATAAGACGTATTATAATATATATAAAACTTGATTTTTTTTAACTCTACAGAATTTTCTCTTTTATTCATAGCAATATTTTGACATTGCAATGCATGTTTTTAACCAATTTTTTGAATTAATCATATTTTGAAATTTCTAAAATTTCGTTCTAAAAAATCCTAACATCAAAGAGAAAAACTAAAAAAATTTGAATGATTTTTTGTTTGTTTTTTTCGCGCGACGTTATATGAAAAAAAACTCATAGGCGTCAACAAAAAAATACTAAACATCGACGTGATTTTTAGCCGCTTGATACTTCCAATTTATTATACTAAAGCTTTGCTACAAAACGGCATACCAAGAAATTTTCTTAAAATTCATATTAAAAAATTCGAAGTTTTGAATTTTTCTAAAATTTTTTTGTTGGAAACTTTGATGTATGATGATGCTTTTGATTAAAGCAAGAACATATTTTTATAAAAAATAACAAAAAAATTTAACTTGAAAAACATTGTGAGCATTTAAAAAAAAAAACAAAGCATGAGCAATTGTGTGAGTCACTGTACTCTATGCACGAATATGTTTTTATGTGAATATTATTTTAAAATAACATTAATTTATAGTGAAAAGCGTAAATGCTTTGTAATAACGGCTCGCCGGCTACTTGAGCACATTAATTACACTTCATTTCGTTGTGAAAATAAATATTCCATTGCACATAATTGCTTTAGGCTTATTTAAGTAAATTACCCAATGATTTCCACTTAAAATTATAACTTATAAATAGATTTTAAATATGCATACAAACATACATACATATGTACATACATAGTATATGTAAACCTTTTTTTTTTGTAGAGTAGTATGCACATATTTTTGCATAGCAGTAAACTAGTTCGAGAATATGTCATTAATTTTAATTTTTTCCCCACCTGAACATTATACTGATTACACACGAAACAACCAAGCCACGACTGTTACGACTGTTGCTTCGCGTGTAGAGCCTCGTTTCTCATTTAAATTCGTCAACACATCGGCAAGTTGCGATAGCGATCCAAAAATGTCGCTAACTGATTACAGAATCTTCCCCACAGATATAAACTCATACGCTCGTAGTGTTAGTTTTCATTCTGGCGTGGGTTCCAAACTGTCAATGCACAAAAAGAGTCGCTACTACTCTCGCAACGTCAGACCTCTTGTCTTCTGTGTGTAAGATTGATCGGCTTCCTGTGGGGCTCTACTACGATTTCGATGCCTAACACGTGTGCAATCAATCAAAAAGTTTTTTCTCAAGCAGTAGCCTAACGGCAGGCAATGGCGAACATCCGACCGTATGTACATAAACATATTGGCGCACATTCCAAAATGAAGGAGAAGCTCTGCCAAACACTTAAAAAATGCTAGCGCCAAATTTATATTTTTTGTTTTCCCTAAAATTACCAAATCATCGGCATAGGCGGCCAGAGAAAAATATTTCTGCAAGTAAGTTTTTTAAGACTTTATAGGCGGCATACACGGTGCGTCTGACTCGCGATTCATCTGTGTACGTGTTGATTCGTCTTCCGACTACACACAGTTGAGTCATTCAGAGTCATGCCAGAATCATACATACTTATTTTCACTAGCACATCCAAACCGAATCGCGAGTCGGACGCACCGTGTATGCCGCCTATTATAGTGATGATACTGTACATTTTAAAATGCGATATAAAAATAAACTTATTTTTTTTTGGACACAATCAGGCATCAGTCAACGTTTACGTCAACCTATACTGATAAGCAAAATAACTAAATAAAATGCGGTCAACCTTAATTTGAAGCTGATCTTATTTGTCAAAAATGTATTTCAGCCATGATTCCAAAAGTCGGTTACAATTTCAGAAGAAGAAACTGCAAACAATTTATAAATCGCATACAAAGTATTAGCCATATCGCTCGGGGCAGCATCTGAGATATGTATGTAAGAATAAAATGACCACAGAG